GTGCGTTATCAGGCAACCAGACTGACTGTAGCACCCAACACAGAAAGTGACAGAAATAACTGGAAACACTGTAGTGACTCACAGCTTCATTAACAAGCCAAGCTTTTCGTTAAGTTAGAATTTTAACGAAGGAAGCAGACTACAGAGGCATTTTATAACACACACATTTTTAAGGTATTAGGATGCATTTGGTTCCTAATTCTCTTCATTTCAGTATGCTCTACGTTACCTGTGGGCTGCAAGACAGAACTAGTTCCCTGCACTGCAGTACAACTAGTTTCCTTTCTAGTTTTGAACTATAAAAATAGCCATATTATAAGAGCAAAGGTCTAGCGCTCTGTTCTTCAGAAGTAGCCAGAATAGGGCCAAAAAAAAAAAAAAAAAGGCAGGAGGGAGGCGGGGAGGAAAAGCAGTGAAATTAAGTACAGGCAGTCTTTTCCCTTTTCCCTTCCTATACCCTGTGCAATTGTTAAAGACCTTCTGATCCAGAGGTTGCATCCAGGCCATCACTTTTAATAAGAACTTATCTATCCTTCATCGATTTTTCAATCTGTTTAGACTTCTGCTATGCATAACACCCTCTGGCAATGAGTTTCACATAGTAACTGCGGCTTGATTGCTTTGAATCAATTTAGTTAACACAAGAACCGTAAAGAATCACTCCCTACTCCCCTTCCCCATCTCATTCATGACAGTATAAAACACCTGCAAGTTCCGTAATAAGTCATCTCTTCTCTATGGCAGAGAGAGGAATCACGTTGACTGACTTGAGACTTGTTGATGATCTTCTCTGGACATTCCCTAGCCTTGCACTACCTTCAAGAGGTGGTAATCAGAACTGCATAGTGTTACAAGATACTGGCACACCATGAATTTACACAGCAGCATACTGATGGTTTCCGTTTTGTTTACCAGCCTGGGTAAACATCCAGAGAGTTTGTTGATTCTTCAGGGAGTGCAGCATTTCCTCCCAGTTGGCCATTAGTCTCTCTGCAATAACTTCTTGGGCAATCCCTGCAGATAGCGCTCTTTAGTAATCTGATGAGGTGACAGGTGAAATTTTTCATCTCCCAACAACTGCTGCCACAGATATCTCAATTTTTTTTTTTTTTTACCCAATTCAAGCCAGTCAAACTCACAGCTTTCAAATCCCTGCCATTCCCCTCTTGCCAAAGTCTTCCCAAAAGCATGGCAGTGCGCAACCACTCAAAGCTCACAGCTACTTTCTTTCACCTGTACACGCAGTGAGAAGTCCCACAGCCAGAGAAGCAGAAAGTACACGGCTCTCCCCAACAAGCCAGAAGAAGCACTGCTGCATTAAAATCTATACTGACCAACCAAGGAAGCTTTTCCCAGCAAACATCCCAGTCTTAGGAAATTTCCTAGGTGTCCCCATATAATGAGTGACTCTCCTGAAGGATCAGAGACTTGGCACTGTGATGCACAATTCACTACCCTGCCTGATGAGCCCCTGCTAATCCCAAGAGATGTGCTTCACCAAATATAGCTGCTCCATATAATTGCTTGGCTTATCTCCCCCTCTCTTAGCTGAGCTACTATGGTTCCAAAAGCCCTGAAAATTAATGATAGGTATGCTTGCAGATTAAAATACATCTACCTGTGTAGTGCTGTGTGCATCACTTGTTCCCAACAGCACTGTCAGTCACAGCACTCAGGGGCAGTTTCTCTATGCTTCTTAGTAGTAGCTCAAACTCTGCCGAATTAGCAAATGCTAGGAGAAACATCAGAGCAGTTTGTTTGATCCCAATTTCAGAATTTCTGGGAAGCAGTTGTAACGCACCATGAGAAAGATAACACAAAACATAAAAGTTGTGAGCTCAAACACCGCATCACAGCATACCTGACCGGAAAACTGAGCAGGTAATTTGCACAAACACAGACTCCTGTGAACACGCAGTTAACAAAAGTAGCTCAAGACAGCTTAGCAAAATAATAGCAGCCACAGTTTACTTCCACAGTTACAAACCTCTGAATTTGAATGAGCAAACTATAGAAATAACCTTTGTAGATCAACAAAACTCTACTACTACCCATGAGCATAAGACAGCATGCAATAGCTAGGTGAATAAAGTAAGTCACTTCAGCATACTGAAATCTAAAGCTTCCTTCTGGATATCTCATTTTCTGAACGTTTTGTATACAGTGCCTGCAAATACAACTCTGGGTGTGTTAAGTGCTGGTGAGAAGAGTCCCTTTCCTTCTATTTCCTAAGGAAACTAATGTGGGATAGAACAACACTTTTACACAACAGGATGAGAAACTCCACCAAATCCCTTGCTGGCGCTCCAATAAAGGCAATTCAAAAAGTCAGCCAGAGACCTGCCCACACCCATCACCATGACTTTCCAAGACTGGATTAAGAAAAAGTCGCATTTAGGTTTTGCACTCAGCCTCAAATGTTAGTCACCTCAGTTTTCTCTTTTGAAACATACACACAATATATATACATACACCCCCCATGTATTTATACACACACATACATAAATCGCTTGGGATTTTCTCTGAAATCCCTAGTCTGACTGTTCTTGAAGCGCTGAATCTCATAGATGGCTTCCCCAGTTAATTTACTCCAGTATTACAAAATGCTGCCATCAATGAGGGACCAGAACCAGCTGGACCTTGAATGCAGAAAACACAACAGTCTGCTCACAATGAGCAGAAAAATTATCATTGTAAACCAGTTTACAAAAAGTGTCTTAAAACACTATTACGAGAAAGTGGCAGTCTGTTCAGAGCTACACCAGGCAATAAAAAAAGTCTGAGCCACAGGACTAGTTAACTTGCTGCTGTCCAGAAGGTGAGAACAAACAGTTACGGAAGCACTTAGTATCTCCTGCCTCACACTGGACTCCTTGAGTCCAGGCCTTGAGCTTCAGGCACTGTTTGCCCACATCCCCTTTCCCTGGTAACCAATTAGGAATATGTTACTTAGCTTTAGCATGAGCCAAGATAAAGCATATCTTCTTGGTCTAAAAACATCTAGTTCCAGCTCAACAGGTTTTGGAGAAGATTTAGCTGAGAAGAATGAGGATGCCCTCTATGAGATAGATGTTCTGGCCGCTTGTGGTCCAGTCCTGTCCACCAGGACTTGACAATTGATAATGTTAATGTAGAAAATGCATTTAAGTTTAGTTCTGTTAATATGATCCTCTCCCAGTTGAGACTAGAGGATCTCTGTTCACCTGGTATCTTCCGCATTTATCCTGCCATTGTTCCAGAGGCAGAACTATGACTGGTGAGGAAAAGTTACGCATAGTAAGGGAATGGGCTCTTCTTCTAAGCCACAGAAAGGGAACAATGGGTGAATTTACTTTGCAATTTGAAAAGAGTACTTCTTATCATCCAAGACATTTGCATAAAACAGCTTCCTCAGCTCTTGGTTTAATGAATAAAGGAATCAAACCTTTCAATGCATATTGCAAGTAACCACAAAGATTTACCATCTGAAACAGCTACACATGGTGCTCTCTCCATACCTGCCATCTACAACTAAACATTTCTCAAGCGATCATCTGGGAGAGCTGGAAGAGGACAGAACTCGATGCCTAGCCAAGTTGACTCTTCAAGGAAAAAAATGGAAAACACAATGCTGAAAGCGTTGGACATACTTTGCAGTGGCTTCGCTATGTTCAGTTTTTCCTCAAACTAACGTTCTTGAGATTTTGTAGCAAGCTGGTAATTTTCCTGCTGTATCAAAATTTCTTGATATCTACTTGGGAGAAAATTTAGTTGATACATTAACACTTGCACAGCATATTTCTTTCTGCTGTGAAAAACGTCAAGCGAAGAGGTGAAGAAACTAGCTCCAAAGTCAAAATGGCAGCTGCAGAGCTGAGAGGGGGGACCCCCATCCTGTCTCCCTTAACTCCTTTGTCATTTTGCAACTGAAGAAAAACACAGGCAGTCAGATGAATGACAAATCGGCACAGCCACCTGGCTTCAACCACTTGAGCTAAAGCTACTTCTTACAGTCAGTAGCAGGATCACACCCATCTCCTCTCAGGGCCAAGCCCTGAGAGCCACCTAGCAGGTGTACACTGGTGATACACTATATCCCATGATCTATCCATGGGGTTAGGCAGAAAGTAGTATCCAAGGTACCTATCATGGCAGCATCTAAACACAAGTATCAGAGTACCTGACAGACAAAAAGGTCTTTCCCTCAGGCTGTTTACATCTGCATGTTCCTGTGTAGCACTGAAGATAGCAGCAATGGTGATTCATTAAGATAATGATTTAAGTAGGAGGCTTAAGAAAGTCAGGGTGGATTAACATCCACAGGGCTACAGTTGGAGCTCCTCCACTCCAGGCTGCCACCTTCCCTTTTAAGGGAAGGGACGAATTCAAAAAGTCAGGAGAACTATGAATTAACAGCAACTGTATTACAACTCCAATGCATTAAAACACAAGAGCACCATCTGTACTCCAACTCATCCTCCTTGGCAATGTCAAGCACAAAATTTTACGCTGCAGGAAAATTTTCATGGCATTACAAATTACTGGCTCTTCCTTTATTTGATTAGTTTGTTAGTGCAGGTTCTCCTCAAAAAGAGATTGTATAAATTTCTTTTTAAACTAATTTTCTGTCTCCCTTAAAAACAATACAAGTTTTTCTCCAATGAATTGTCTTTCCCCACTATTGAATAATCAGATGGGTTTGATAAATTGATTGCTCCCGCATAACAATGTAAAGATACACACTGGAAAAAAGCACACAAGTCCTTTCCACACCCCAACATTTAATCAAATTGTAATCAGTTACACGTTGAAACAGGCATTCTGTCTGTAACACGAGGTTAATGCTTAGATAGTAACAGGCAGCTCATACTTCATCCCTGCTGAGCAGCCTTTGCACAGCAATGTTGATATAGTGCTTTCAGTTGCCTTCGAGAGGGATGCGCAGGCAACCAATTTTGCTATTCTTCTGCTCACTTATAGTAGTTGCAACAGGGCATCCCGGTGTGTCTTGCCCCACTCACCGCTAGCTGTGCTTGGTCTGAACGTCTTCTAGGCACTCTATCCCATGCTGATTCAGTACGGAATAGCTTCCTGGAATGCAATTATAGAAAGAGTAAGGGTTTGTCTTAAAAATGGATTATTCCAGAACAGCTATTCCTTACTAACTATTCCCAATCACTTCTTTGTTAGAATGATGAAGTTAATTGGGAATAGCTCTTCCGCTCAGATTTGTAACTTACCGCGGTCTGAACCAATGACCCTGTTAAGATGAGCCCTTAGTACAGCATCATACAGTCACAGCAACGGCTTCAGCAGTAAAAATAGACTCATAGTTGCAATGAAAGTAGAGCTGATGCGTGGACACATCTCAGCTGAGTTTGTTGTAATCTGGGCAGACAACAGGATCAAGAACTATGTAAAAAAGATAGTTGCTCCTATAATGTTAGATCTCATCACTACTGCATGTGACATTTTGTACTTTACAAGTCTCTGGATCTGCTTCATTCAAACTTGGTTTATTCCTTAGATATATGGAGACCTTAACAGCTGGGAAATTTTGAGTTCCGTAGCGTTGTTGTTTATTAAGTTCTTAGCTTGCAAAATTTCTCAACCAAAAAGGGCTGAGAAAGTACCTGGCACATCTTGGATGCTTATTGAATACATTAAATAAATCAAACGTTTTATGATAAAATTCCACTCCCCCACACCAAACAGATGTAGGTGCAACTCAAAGAGGCTTGAAAAATTGCACTAAAATTGATTTTGCTCCAGTTTTCCCCAAAGGAAAAAATTTGTGTGTGGGTTGAGACAAAAACATGGAAAATTTCAGCTATCGTGAACAACTGAAAAGAGAAATGGAGGAAAGACAGAAGCCAAAACTGAACTTCACATTCAGAGTGCATAATTTATA